GTCTACCACCTTGTCCATCAAGGCTGTCTACCACCTTGTCCATCAAGGCTGTCTGCCACCTTGTCCATCAAGGCTGTCTGTGACCTTGTCCATCTAGGCTGTCTGTGACCTTGTCCATCAAGGCTGTCTGTGACCTTGTCCATCTAGGCTGTCTGTGACCTTGTCCATCAAGGCTGTCTGTGACCTTGTCCATCAAGGCTGTCTGTGACCTTGTCCATCAAGGCTGTCTGTGACCTTGTCCATCAAGGCTGTCTGTGACCTTGTCCATCAAGGCTGTCTGTGACCTTGTCCATCAAGGCTGTCTGTGACCTTGTCCATCAAGGCTGTCTGTGACCTTGTCCATCAAGGCTGTCTGTGACCTTGTCCATCAAGGCTGTCTGTGACCTTGTTCATCAAGGCTGTCTGTGACCTTGTCCGTCAAGGCTGTCTGTGACCTTGTCCATCAAGGCTGTCTGCCACCTTGTCCGTCAAGGCTGTCTGTGACCTTGTCCATCAAGGCTGTCTGCCACCTTGTCCGTCAAGGCTGTCTGTGACCTTGTCCATCAAGGCTGTCTGTGACCTTGTTCATCAAGGCTGTCTGTGACCTTGTTCATCAAGGCTGTCTGTGACCTTGTTCATCAAGGCTGTCTGTGACCTTGTTCATCAAGGCTGACACTTTGTCCTACAAGGTAAACTGTTATCTTCTCCTTCAAGGGTGACTTTCATCTTGTCATTCAAGGGCAGAGTGTCAACTTGTTCTTCACTACACCCAACTTGCCCATAAAAAATCATCATGTGAATTGTGAAAAAAAGAGATTAAATGAAATAAAGAAGTATGGATTTAAATTATTCAAACCAATGTTATTGTAGGAAACCAATGTCCAGATTGCTTCGCACATTAATCTTTATTTACACAAAAAAATCATGTTTGTTTGTTGGAGGCCAGGTGCTTGGAGGGGGGTATCACCAAACTTTGCAGGGTGACTGGTCTTGGGCAAAGGCGAGCAAAGGTCACCCACAAGACTTCCCCTTTGCATAAAATAACGAATGATACTAAATTTCAGTCTCGCTAAATGCCAGACTCCATCCCTCATTAACATTCATCCTGAACATTATCTTCTGCGTGATTAAATGTTAGTTTCTCTTCCGTTTATTCAAGCAGAATCAATAATATTTCTATTAAAATTATATTTATATACCTATTATAAAGTCACAATTGGCAGCCATCAGTCTCCATCATATAACATGAATATTAGCATTGATTTGTACACTTTGGATCCATAATTAATGAATCAATTAAAAAACGATCTTAGTAAGATAATTAATAAACAACTATTCACATACAGACATTACTTCCAAGTGCTTACATGTACTGGTCATTAGGCCCTCTGTAGTTTACTAATCCCCGACCGTCCAGGTGGTTAGGCACCATTCCTTCCCTCCCCCGTTCCATCCCGTCCCATCCCAAATCCTTATATCGACCCCTTCCCAGTGCTGTATAGTCGTAATGGCTTGGCGCTTTCCCCCTGATAGTTCCCTTCCTACTAAGAATCTGTGATCATGAATCAATACCTTAAAGACGTTGTGTTTACACCTCACGAGTCACTTTCATTTTTTATTCCCTGCCAATATATTTAAAGTATTCTAATGCATTGTTTATATTTTGTTGAGAATGTGTTAACAAGAAAGCGCTCAATATAAATATGCATACATACATACATACATACATACATACATACATACATACATACATACATACATACATATGCAAACTAAATAGGATACCCCTGTTATACCCTTGTCTGCCCCCCCCCCCACCTCTCCTATCTCCTTCCTTTTATCCCTGTCTCTCATCTCCTCCATCTTCCCCCCCCCCTAATCTCTCTCACTTTCTCCCCCCCCCCCAATCTCTCTCACTTTCTCCCCCCCCCAATCTCTCTCACTTTCTACCCCCAACATTCCCTCTCGATCTCTGTTCTCACTCCTCTCTCCCTCTTCCTCTCTCACCTCTCTTCTCACTCTCACCTTTTAGAGAGACGGAGAGAATTATCAGGGGAAAGCGCCAAGCCATTACGAGCCGTTACAGCCCCGCTCCCTGTGCCAGGTAAGTCCGCTACGGGCTCACCATAGCCCGTGCTACTTGGAATTTTTGTTCCGAGTAGCTGAATCTAAAACAACAACAACGACAAGCCATTAACGACTATATTACACTTGGAAGGAGCTGGACGGTAGAGCGACGGTCTCGCTTCATGCAGGTCGGTGTTCAATCCCCGACCGTCCAAGTGGATGGGCACCATTCCTATCCCCCCGTACCATCCCAAATCCTTATCCTGACCCCTTCCTAGTGCTATATAGTTGTAATGGCGTGGCACTTTCCTCTGATAATTCCCTCCCTCCCTTCCTCCCTCTCTCCCTCTCTCCCTTCCTCCCTCCCTCTCTCCTCTCCTTTTCTCACTCTCACTCTCCGCTTCTCTCCTTTCCTTCTTCCCCATCTCTATCTTCGGCCCCTCTCTCTATTCCTCTTATTTCTTCGTCCAAGAGGTCGCATGGTGGAGGGGGGAGGGTGGAGGGGGGGGGGTTAGTCTCGTTTGAGGTCAAATATTTCATTCTCGTTGCTTCAGCCGTTTAAGACTGAGGTTGCTTCAGCCGTTTAAGACTGAGGTTGCTTCAGCCGTTTAAGACTGAGGTTGCTTCAGCCGTTTAAGACTGAGGTTGCTTCAGCCGTTTAAGACTGAGGTTGCTTCAGCCGTTTAAGACTGAGGTTGCTTCAGCCGTTAAAGACTGAGTTTTGTCAAGAGTCTCAATTCCTCGCTGTAGTCTTTTAAGTATTTCATACTGTGAAAAATAAACTCTACGGACTTAAACTCTTTCCCTCTTTCTCTCTCTGAAAATTTAATATTACGACGGGCTAAGAAACTGTTAAAAACTCGATAGCAAACAAATCTCCTATTTCAGACTTCAAGAAAATCCCGGGGGGCGCACTCGATGCTAATATTTCTTAAAGAGTGGCAGTAGGGGGTCGTCTCCGAATGGCCTACAATACTCACATACACCAACCCCAACCCCCCCCCCCCCCGCACCCCACACCCATCCACTATGCGTCCTCTCGGGAGATTTGAGTGAGGCTATTTTGGGCACAGATTTTCATCAAGTCACTTGAGTATGCTAGTACTGAGCTAGCATGAGCGTCATGTGCACTTCATCATGCTGGCACTTCACGCTAGTACTGAGCGTCATCTGTGTCATGCGGCCCTACCATGCTGAAGTGATTTGATGAAATATCTGTGCCCGAAATGGTCAATGAGAGCTGTTGGGTATTGGGTTAAGGGTCAGACGACTTCCAATACTTTTGTACAGTCAGTATGGCCGAGTGGTTAATTTATTGGGCACGCCAATGACCGGGTTCGAATCCTTCAGGGGTCAAGAGTTAATAAATATTATATATATACATTATATATTATATATATATATATTTATATATATATATATATATATATATATATATATATATATATATATATATATATAATCTGCTTATTCAAGAATAAGTTTATGTCTATTTGAAACGTAATTATACAAATAATTATCGAAATGCTTGATTTTAATTAAGATAAAAAACGGAACATCATATTTAGCTTACAGAAAATTACTTGTAATTTGATAATGGGATTATATATGCAATAATTTAATTGTGGCAAAAATGTAGTGCGCGGTATTAAGAATTATATGACAATGTGTGTATATATCGGGTTATATCGCTCCTCTGTTATCGTGCACAAGCTTATATCATTAATCTTCATCAATGGTAAATTATTAAGTGAGCAAGTTATCAGACATTCCATTTATATATATATACTGAAATTAATACAAGTTATTGGCCAATTCATAATACTGATATATTTGATAACCAATGCAGAGAACAAACCACAATAACGTGGTTGATAACAAATAATCAAATAACCCAAATAGCAAACAACAATTACCCAGTGTTCCACAAGTCTTCGTAGTAATCAAAAACTTTAACGTAATTCTCCTTTCAGTTCACGTACATTAACACACACACAAAAAATAGTACTCACAATGAGGAACTAATTCCTGCGACAGCTGCTCGTAGCGCACCTATGGGAAACGAAAACAAAATGATGAACATATTCACGACATACAAGATACTAATGGGGGTTGACCACGCACACAGAGAATCAATGTTCCAAGCGAGGAAAGGCAAAATGACGAGATGGTTTAAAATTGGAAGAAAATGTCACAGAGATGCCAGAAGAAACTTCTTCAGTGTAGTGATTAAATAAGATTTAAAAGGAAGGAATAAGGCTAAACGACACACCAGAAGATGAGGAGAGGACGACGACGTTTCGGTCCGTCCTGGATCAAGTCGACTTGATAGTGGTCCAGGATGGACCGAAACGTCTTCGTCTCTTCATATTCAAGTGTATCGTCTGGTCTTCATATCTTCAGCCACGTTATTGTGACTCATAGTCTGCATAAGAAATAACAAACTACTTATAGTCAAAAGGCGAGGGTTAGGAGTAGACCCTCAACTCTGTATCGCAGCTCGTTACATCAACAAAGACTAAATGCTCGTTAATTTAGCCCCCCAAAACCCCCGTTTATGAATGAAAACCCGAGTCCAAGGCCTACCATACGATTCACAACTGATGATGTTCGAACATTTTTCGGATTGTGCTTCGCTGACCTCTGTTCGATTCGTATCTCTGTAAATGCTTCACCCACGAACTACAAATACAAATCGCCAACAGAATGTAAACACCTAACTTAACTTATGTCTAACATTACACAGAACTGTAATATATATAATATTAACTGATATGAGAGCAAATGGACAGCATATTAAAATACACGAATACGTCTCCGGGGGGAGGGGGGGGGAGCCGGCCGCCGCTTTAACGAGCTTGCCTGAGGACAGGTTGCGTACGCCCACACACACACGCGCGCGCACGCGCGCCCTATACAATATTGTGGATTTAAATGAATTATCTCCCGGCAAGGATACACTCGTTCACGTCAATGTTTGCTGATGAAAATTATGAACAGGTTGCTAGAGTTCAACACCAGCAACTGCAAAGTAATGAAGATGAAAACTGCAATCGGGACGCCGAACTCACTGTAACGACTGCAAGGGAGAACAATGAGTCGGACAGAAAAAAATACTTGGGTGATATCCCACTGACTTATCACCTGAAGCACATATTAACTAGATATCGTAATTAAGCTGCATAAGCAAGATAAGCCAGGATAGCAACTGCCCTAAGATATCTGAAGCAGGAGGCGTCCAGAGCCCAGTAATGTCAGACCAATCCTGGTACACGAAGTACCAGGATGAAGTTCATATCTCAACACAAAACACAGTTGGAACAAGTCCAGAGGTAATTAAGCTTACAAGGGAACATTAGAATTCCGGGGAATTGAAGCCTCAATGAACGGTTCAATATCACTAACCAACCACAATTACATACTAAAGTATTAAGAACAATATCGCTCTAATACCATCCAAAAAAATACAATACCTACGATACAAAGCATGCATTGGGCTATTTAAACAGTTCCACCTAAAAAAAAATACATATATAACCAGTCGCGTTAAGTAGTATTAGTCGATTACAAATAAGCGCTATCAGATCCCACGAGAGGTGTGTACTGGAGAGGAACAAGACTCACAAAAGGGCATCAGAATGCTGACAAAAATTCCTAGAGTCGTTGCCAGCACTTCAGTCGGGTCAGACCTCTGCCACACTCTCACATGTTGCACATGAAATAAACACACACTGGCAACTCAAACTCCCCCCCACCCCCCAACCCCCCCCCACCCCCCACGCCCCCCCACCCCCCCACACCCCCCCAAACAGAAACAGAAAATAACTGAAGACAATTTTAAAACAGTAAAATAATCTTTTATTTATTCGTTGTAAGGGCAGGTAATGACGGCTGAGATATTTGTGTAATAGGAGTGTAATAGGAGGTAGATATCAGGTCTGCCGCTGGTATTAAATATGTAGCGAATCATCTTGGTTTATGATGGGGAGTGTATGGTGTGTGTGGCTGGCCACACCATGTGGGTCCCGTATGGTGTGGCCTTGTAGTGGGTCTGTGGTGGGGCCACACCATGGGCTCTGATGGGGTCAGAGCCCGTAGGTCGTGTGTGAGAGTCCAAGACCTACCTCACAGGTGTATGTGTGAGAGTCCAAGGCCTACCTCACAGGTGTGTGTGAGAGTCCTAGGCCTACCTCACAGGTGTGTGTGAGAGTCCAAGGCCTACCTCACAGGTGTGTGGGAGAGTCCAAGGCCTACCTCACAGGTGTGTGGGAGAGTTCAAGGCCTACCTCACAGGTGTGTGAGAGTCCAAAACCTACCTCACAGGTGTGTGAGAGTCTTAGGCCTACCTCACAGGTGTGTGTGAGAGTCCAAAACCTACCTCACAGGTGTATGTGTGAGAGTTCAAGGCCTACCTCACAGGTGTGTGTGAGAGTCCTAGGCCTACCTCACAGGTGTGTGTGAGAGTCCAAGGCCTACCTCACAGGTGTGTGGGAGAGTCCAAGGCCTACCCCACAGGTGTGTGTGAGAGTCCAAGGCCTACCTCACAGGTGTGTGTGAGAGTCCAAGGCCTACCTCACAGGTGTGTGAGAGTCCAAGACCTACCTCACAGGTGTGTGAGAGTCTTAGGCCTACCTCAGAGGTGTGTGTGAGAGTCCAAAACCTACCTCACAGGTGTGTGTGTGAGAGTCCAAGGCCTACCTCACAGGTGTGTGTGAGAGTCCTAGGCCTACCTCACAGGTGTGTGTGAGAGTCCAAGGCCTACCTCACAGGTGTGTGGGAGAGTCCAAGGCCTACCTCACAGGTGTGTGTGAGAGTCCAAGGCCTACCTCACAGGTGTGTGTGAGAGTCCAAGGCCTACCTCACAGGTGTGTGAGAGTCCAAGACCTACCTCACAGGTGTGTGTGAGTCTTAGGCCTACCTCACAGGTGTGTGTGAGTCCAAGGCCTACCTCACAGGTGTGTGAGAGTCCAAGGCCTAACTCACAGGTGTGTGAGAGTCCAAGACCTACCTCACAGGTGTGTGTGAGAGTCCATTGGTGAGCGATTGATGTGAAAAATAGTGAAACACACTGGCCCAGGTGTTCTTACTGTGCAAATCATTTAATGTTCTGAGGTGCACTGTCTCCAATGTACCATTGTACCGAGTAGGACACAGTGTACCGTGTGTACACCACACCCTACGGTACAGTGTACCCTGTGTCAAACTGTACCATCGCATTCATTCAGGTCCCCGATGACAAAACTAAGAGTGAACAAATATATTGCATTCTCGAGTTATTTTGTTATAATTCCTATTTCAGGTGTATATATGTGCTGTGGGGCCAAACACCTGGTGAGAGTGTGTATGTCAGGTGTAGCAGCAACACCTGGAGAGAGTGTCAGGTGTAGCAGCAACACCTGGAGAGAGTGTCAGGTATAGCAGCAACACCTGGAGTGTGCCAGGTGTAGCAGCAACACCTGGAGAGTGTGTCAGGTGTAGCAGCAACACCTGGAGAGAGTGTCAGGTGTAGCAGCAACACCTGGAGAGAGTGTCAGGTGTAGCAGCAACACCTGGAGAGTGTGTCAGGTGTTGCAGCAACATCTGGAGAGTGTGTCAGGTGTTGCAGCAACACCTGGAGAGAGTGCCAGGTGTAGCAGCAACACCTGGAGAGAGTGTCAGGTGTTGCAGCAACACCTGGAGAGAGTGTCAGGTGTAGCAGCAACACCTGGAGAGAGTGTCAGGTGTAGCAGCAACACCTGGAGAGAGTGCCAGGTGTAGCAGCAACACCTGTAGAGTGCCAGGTGTAGCAGCAACACCTGGAGAGAGTGTCAGGTGTAGCAGCAACACCTAGAAAGTGTGTCAGGTGTAGCAGCAACACCTGGAGAGAGTGTCAGGTGTAGCAGCAACACCTGGAGAGAGTGCCAGGTGTAGCAGCAACACCTGGAGAGAGTGCCAGGTGTAGCAGCAACACCTGGAGAGAGTGCCAGGTGTAGCAGCAACACCTGGAGAGTATCAGGTGTAGCAGCAACACCTGGCGAGAGTGCCAGGTGTAGCAGCAACACCTGGAGAGAGTGCCAGGTGTTGCAGCAACACCTCGTAAGTGCCAGGTGTAGCAGCAACACTTTGTGAGTGCCAGGTGTAGCAGCAACACCTGGCGAGAGTGATAGGTGTAGCAGCAACACTTGGAGAGAGTGCCAGGTGTAGCAGCAACACCTGGAGAGAGTGCCAGGTGTAGCAGCAACACCTGGAGAGAGTGTCAGGTGTAGCAGCAACACCTGTAGAGTGCCAGGTGTAGCAGCAACACCTGGAGAGAGTGTCAGGTGTAGCAGCAACACCTAGAAAGTGTGTCAGGTGTAGCAGCAACACCTGGAGAGAGTGTCAGGTGTAGCAGCAACACCTGGAGAGTGTGCCAGGTGTAGCAGCAACACCTGGAGAGAGTGCCAGGTGTAGCAGCAACACCTGGAGAGAGTGCCAGGTGTAGCAGCAACACCTGGAGAGTATCAGGTGTAGCAGCAACACCTGGCGAGAGTGCCAGGTGTAGCAGCAACACCTGGAGAGAGTGCCAGGTGTTGCAGCAACACCTCGTAAGTGCCAGGTGTAGCAGCAACACTTTGTGAGTGCCAGGTGTAGCAGCAACACCTGGCGAGAGTGATAGGTGTAGCAGCAACACTTGGAGAGAGTGCCAGGTGTAGCAGCAACACCTGGAGAGAGTGCCAGGTGTAGCAGCAACACCTGGAGAGAGTGTCAGGTGTTGCAGCAACACCTGGAGTGTGTCATGTGTAGCAGCAACACCTGGCGAGAGTGCCAGGTTTAGCAGCAACACCTGGAGAGAGTGCCAGGTGTAGCAGCAACACCTGGAGAGTATCAGGTGTAGCAGCAACACCTGGCGAGAGTGCCAGGTTTAGCAGCAACGCCTGGAGAGTATCAGGTGTAGCAGCAACACCTGGCGAGAGTGCCAGGTGTAGCAGCAACACCTGGCGAGAGTGCCAGGTGTAGCAGCAACACCTGGAGAGAGTGCCAGGTGTAGCAGCAACACCTGGCGAGAGTGCCAGGTGTAGCAGCAACACCTGGAGAGAGTGCCAGGTGTAGCAGCAACACTTGGAGAGAGTGCCAGGTGTAGCAGCAACACCTGGAGAGAGTGCCAGGCGTAACAGCAACACCTGGCGAGAGTGCCAGGTGTAGCAGCAACACCTGGAGTGTGCCGGGTGTAGCAGCAACACCTGGCGAGAGTGCCAGGTGTAGCAGCAACACCTGGCGAGAGTGCCTGGTGTAGCAGCAACACCTGGAGAGAGTGTCAGGTGTAGCAGGAACACCTGGAGAGAGTGCCAGGTGTAGCAGCAACACCTGGAGAGAGTGCCAGGTGTAGCAGCAACACCTGGAGAGAGTGCCAGGTGTAGCAGCAACACCTGGAGAGAGTGCCAGGTGTAGCAGCAACACCTGGGGAGAGTGTCAGGTGTAGCAGCAACACCTGGAGAGAGTGCCAGGTATTGCAGCAACACCTGGCGAGAGTACCAAGTGTAGCAGCAACACCTGGAGAGTGTGCCAGGTGTTGCAGCAACACCTGGAGAGTGTGCCAGGTGTTGCAGCAACACCTGGAGAGTGTGTCAGGTGTAACCGCAACACCTGGAGAGTGTGTCAGGTGTAACCGCAACACCTGGAGAGTGTGTGAGGTGTAGCAGCAACACCTGGCGAGAGTGCCAAGTGTAGCAGCAACACCTGGAGAGTATCAGGTGTAGCAGCAACACCTGGCGAGAGTGCCAGGTGTAGCAGCAACACCTGGCGAGAGTGCCAGGTGTAACAGCAACACCTGGCGAGAGTGCCAGGTGTTGCAGCAACACTAGTGGGAACACTTAGCCAGGTCACCTCCACCCCCTGCCTGTTAAAGACGACACACTCCGCCCTCACAGTAAAGTGGATAGTGTGTCAACATCCAGCCCTTGGAGACCTGCTAGTTTACCAGGCTCTTCTGGGGTCACGTTCAGGTGGTGGGGGGTCCTGGGGTCACGTTCAGGTGGGGGGGTCCTGGAGTCACGTTCAGGTGGGGAGGTCCTGGGGTCACGTTCAGGTGGGGAGGTCCTGGGGTCACGTTCAGGTGGGGGAGGTCCTGGGGTCACGTTCAGGTGGGGAGTCTTGGGGTCACGTTCAGGTGGGGGAGGTCCTGGGGTCACGTTCAGGTGGGGAGTCTTGGGGTCACGTTCAGGTGGTGGAGGTCCTGGGGTCACGTTCAGGTGGGGGAGGTCCTGGGGTCACGTTCAGGTGGGGGAGGTCCTGGGGTCACGTTCAGGTGGGGAGTCCTGGGGTCACGTTCAGGTGGGGGAGGTCCTGGGGTCACGTTTAGGTGGGGGAGGTCCTGGGGTCACGTTCAGGTGGGGGAGGTCCTGGGGTCACGTTCAGGTGGGGGAGGTCCTGGGGTCACGTTCAGGTGGGGGAGGTCCTGGGGTCACGTTCAGGTGGGGGGGTCCTGGGGTCACGTTCAGGTGGGGAGGTCCTGGGGTCACGTTCAGGTGGGGAGGTCCTGGGGTCACGTTCAGGTGGGGGAGGTCCTGGGGTCACGTTCAGGTGGGGAGTCCCGGGGTCACGTTCAGGTGGGGAGTCTTGGGGTCACGTTCAGGTGGTGGGGGTCCTGGGGCCACGTTCAGGTGGGGAGTCTTGGGGGTCACGTTCAGGTGGGGGAGGTCCTGGGGTCACGTTCAGGTGGGGGAGGTCCTGGGGTCACGTTCAGGTGGGGAGTCTTGGGGGTCACGTTCAGGTGGTGGGGGTCCTGGGGTCACGTTCAGGTGGTGCGGGTCCTGGGGTCACGTTCAGGTGGGGGAGGTCCTGGGGTCACGTTCAGGTGGGGAGTCCTGGGGTCACGTTCAGGTGGGGAGGTCCTGGGGTCACGTTCAGGTGGGGAGTCCTGGGGTCACGTTCAGGTGGGGAGTCTTGGGGGTCACGTTCAGGTGGTGGGGGTCCTGGGGTCACGTTCAGGTGGGGGTTTTGGGGTCACGTTCAGGTGGGGGTCATAGTCATGGGATTAAGGATCAATGCCTTTATCAGATTTAGAAATCTGATCAAGAAGTCCTCCATAAGAATGATAAAAGTTCTTTAATAAGCTATAACCTAGGACACAGATATAATTTTCAAGTGAACTTTGAACAACAGGGGCCAGATTCACGAAGCACTTACGCTAACACTTACGAACCAGTACATCTTTTCTCAATCTTTGGCGGCTTTGTTTCCAATTATTAAACAGTGAATGAGCTCCGAAGCACCTGGAGGCTGTTGATAACAATACCAACAATTGATTGGGAAGTTTTCATGCTTGTAAACTGTTTAATAAATGTAACCAAAGCCGTCAAAGATTGAGGAAAGATGTACACGTTCGTAAGTGCTTGCGTAAGTGCTTTCGTGAATCTGGCCCCTGGATCGGTTAGATATCGTCCCTAAGGGCTTTTCAGGAACAAGTGAGGATGCAGACTATATATATATATATATATATATATATATATATATATATATATATATATATATATATATATATATATATATATATATATATATATATATATATATAAATTTGTGAGGGTACCACCTCTGGTGCCAATGTGGGGACCCATAGCCTCGGAGAAGAAAATAAAAAGTATTCAGAGGAGACCTTGTGGTTTCTCACTGAACACTAATATTATCTTCTCCTACCACCCCCCATTCTTTTGTGTGTACACATATATATTTACTTTATTTGAACTTTGTTACAAAAAAGGAGTTACATATGGGTTACAAAGATGGTTGTCATAGGTTGTCGAGTTCCTCCAGCTCCTCAGATGGCGGGCAGGAACCCTGGATGCAGTGCGCATTTCCCCTCTGTATCGCCACACTGAGGCGCTGGAAAAGAAAGCTTGCAGCTCTCGGGTCCCTTGTTGTTTCAATGAGCCTAGTACCCAGTTCCTTCAAAAAACTGGTAGCACTTTTACCCCAGGCGCCGAGCGTCTCAGAAGCAATGGGGACAAAATTGTAGTGGTGATCCAGTTCTCTATACTTACGGGATTTGGCTGCTTCCCTGTGGGTGGCAGCGCCACCTGGTTGTGCAACACTGAGGTTAATGTAGGTGTTAGCCAGGGTTGATACGCACGTGTAGTCCCATACCAACTGCTTGCCATTCTTCCAGGGGTTCACTGTGATACCATCCGGGCGACCAATAAGAGCATCAGAGTTACGGGGCGTTAGGTAACGGGGCTCTCTTTCAGCTGGGCATCCAGCTGTGGTGAGGCTCCTCTTGATGATGTCGTTAACTTCACTGTGCCTCGAGTGCCATCCCCCTGTGCTTTGGCAGAGTAGGCCATGGTGACCGTACCTGTCAGCCACCACCTCGCCGCAAATATACCTATATCTGGTGTGGATTGGGGCAGCAAGGCGGAGGGCCACAGCAATTCGGAGGGCGTGTGGTGTGAGACGCGTGCCAGTTGCCGACATTGGGGTTGCTAACAGGAAATCCCCTGCATGTGGTGCTGCTACTGCTGTGAGGCGAGCAATGTCGTGTTGTGTTGTTGCAGCACCCAGGCACTCTGCAGCAACTTGGTCTACAATGGGACCATCCCAGCTGGATTGCTTGTGGGATTTTGGGGATGGTGGTTGAGGTGATTGGCCTGCACGAGAGGCCCACTCTGTGGCACAGCGTGTAAAATTGGGATCATGTACACCTGCCAGCTGATGTAAGTGGGCAGGTAGAATTTCCTTCACAAGGTCGTCGGATGCTGATAAGGAGGACAGGAAGGCTGGAACAGCGATTTGCGTTGCTGTTCGAACTCCGAGGCCCCCAAGTCTTACGGGAAGAGAGGCTTGTTTCCACAGTAGGTCATCGAGAGAGAGGTTAAGGGCTTTTTCTAGCATTGATTTCAGTAACCGGTCATACTCACTTAGTTTTTGGCTACTGTAAGATGGTGAACACCTCAGAAAGTAGGTTAACCTGGGGAGGGACAGACATCTGGTGATGAGGTAGAGTGCATCATGAGCATCAATATCCTCAATCCTCCCATCCATCCTCTTAAGGTCGGCGATTTTCTTATCAAGGACCTCATCGATGGCTTTCAACCCCAGGGGAGCTATATATATATATATATATATATATATATATATATATATATATATATATATATATATATATATATATATATATATATATATATATATACACAGCTGACCCAAGGTAGCAGTTGGTATTTCTTCTCTTGCATATGTAAAGGTTAGAGTGGAGTTATCAGCATAGGAATGGAGTCCAGCGATGAGGTGTAGCAGAATGTGAAAGTAAATATTGCACAAAGCGCCAAGCCCACAACCAAGCCCACAACCGTAGCACACAACCAAGCCCACAACCAATCACACAACCAAGCCCACAACCAAGCCCACAACCAAGCCCACAACCAAGCCCACAACCAATCACACAACCAAGCCCACAACCAAGCCCACAACCAATCACACAACCAAGCCCACAACCAATCACACAACCAAGCCCACAACCAAGCCCACAACCAATCACACAACCAAGCCCACAACCAAGCCCACAACCAAGCCCACAACCAATCACACAACCAAGCCCACAACCAATCACACAACCAAGCCCACAACCAAGCCCACAACCAATCACACAACCAAGCCCACAACCAAGCCCACAACCAAGCCCACAACCAAGCCCACAACCGTAGCACACAACCAAGCCCACAACCAAGCCCACAACCAAGCCCACAACCAAGCCCACAACCAATCCCACAACCAAGCCCACAACCAAGCCCACAACCAAGCCCACAACCAAGCCCACAACCAAGCCCACAACCGTAGCACACAACCAAGCCCACAACCAATCACACAACCAAGCCCACAACCAAGCCCACAACCAATCACACAACCAAGCCCACAACCAAGCCCACAACCAATCACACAACCAAGCCCACAACCAAGCCCACAACCAAGCCCACAAACCAAGCCCACAACCAATCACACAACCAAGCTCACAACCAAGCCCACAACCAAGCCCACAACCAAGCCCACAACCAATCACACAACCAAGCCCACAACCAAGCCCACAACCAAGCCCACAACCAAGCCCACAACCAAGCCCACAACCAAGCCCACAACCAAGCCCACAACCAATCACACAACCAAGCCCACAACCAAGCCACAACCAAGCCCACAACCAAGCCCACAACCAAGCCCACAACCAAGCCCACAACCAAGCCAACAACCAAGCCCACAACCAAGCCTACAACCAAGCCCACAACCAATCACACAACCAAGCCCACAACCAAGCCCACAACCAATCACACAACCAATCACACAACCAAGCCCACAACCAAGCCCACAACCAAGCCCACAACCAAGCCCACAACCAAGCCCACAACCAAGCCCACAACCAATCACACAACCAAGCCCACAACCAAGCCCACAACCAATCACACAACCAAGCCCACAACCAAGCCCACAACCAAGCCCACAACCAATCACACAACCACGTACTTGTTCACCCCATCCTAGCTCTAAGAGAAGGCTGGCTAAGAGAATGCAATGGGATAAAATATGGGACTTATTTTGTCCCATAGCAATCCCTCCCACCCTGTCCTTCTCTCTTTTCCTCCCTCTCCCTCTCCCTGTCTCTCTCTCTCTCTCTCTCTCTCTCTCCCTCCCTCCAAGAGAGAACCAAGACTACACAACTACACTTGAGACCTGACTCCAGTATATTACTATTTGTCAACCACGACATAACTGGAGAAAAAGCCTTCTAGCCAAAGTATTACAAAATAAAATAACCCCCCCACACTATAGAAAATGTTTTAAAACACGATATCCATTTTAAAGCTTAGTGAATGTAGTAGACCTGTTGCCGGCCTGCCTCGCCTTGCTCGTGGGGCTATTACCTCTGCAGGGTTGTGCTGGCCAGGTGTGTGGCGGGGAGGTTGTGCTGGTCAGGTGTGTGGCGGGGAGGTTGTGCTGGCCAGGTGTGTGGCGGGTAGGTTGTGAGGCCCTAGGCCAGGTGTGTGGCGGGTAGGTTGTGAGGCCCCAGGCCAGGTGTAGAGGGTAGGTTGTGAGGCCCCAGGCCAGGTGTGTGGCGGGTAGGTTGTGAGGCCCCAGGCCAGGTGTGTGGAGGGTAGGTTGTGAGGCCCCAGGCCAGGTGTGTGGCGGGTAGGTTGTGAGGTCCCAGGCCAGGTGTGTGGCGGGTAGGTTGTGCTGGCCAGGTGTGTGGAGGGTAGGTTGTGCTGGCCAGGTGTGTGGCGGGTAGACTGTGCTGGCCAGGTGTGTGGAGGGTAGGTTGTGCTGGGCAGGTGTGTGGCGGGTAGGTTGTGCTGGCCAGGTGTGTGGAGGGTAGGTTGTGTTGGCCAGGTGTGTGGTGGGTAGGTTGTGTTGGCCAGGTGTGTGGTGGGGAGGTTGTGCTGACCAGGTGTGTGGTGGGGAGGTTGTGCTGGCCAGGTGTGTGGCGGGTAGGTTATGAGGTCCCAGGCCAAGTGTGTCCCAGGCCAGGTGTGGCGGATAGGTTGTGAGGTCCCAGGCCAGGTGTGTGGTGGGGAGGTTGTGAGGTCCCAGGCCAGGTGTGTGGTAGGGAGGTTGTGAGGTCCCAGGCCAGGTGTGTGGTGGGGAGGTTGTGAGGCCCCAGGCCAGGTGTGTGGTGGGGAGGTTGTGAGGCCCCAGGCCAGGTGTGTGGTGGGGAGGTTGTGAGGTCCCAGGCCAGGTGTGTGGTGGGGAGGTTGTGAGGTCCCAGGCCAGGTGTGTGGTGGGGAGGTTGTGAGGTCCCAGGCCAGGTGTTTGGCGGGGAGGTTGTGAGGTCCCAGACCAGGTGTAACAAGTTGTAACAAGTCAACCAACGCCACTGTCGGTGGTGTTGTTACCGTGCTACAACTTGTCACATCTTGTTATAAAACTTTTGTGACGTTAAGAAGTTGTTACAACTTGTTATATTGCTTGCTACAACTCGTTAGGTTATTCAACTTATTCCAACGTTGCAACAATGTCGTAGTTTGGTCGTGTGTTTGGCGGGTTTGACCCAGGTTCGCATCCTGGCCGGGGGAGGATTGACTAGGCGCCAATCTTTAACTGCGCGCCTCTGTTCACTCGGCAATAATTGTGTACCTGGTTGTCACACACCTGGCGGGCCGTATTCCAGGGGAAACTAGTATAGGTATAAGGCTTACCGTGAGCTGTGGGAAGGGCAAGCTCTCAGCCTGGTAACAGCAGTCGTCTGTTCCTCTACCCAGTGAGGCCACATAATACAAACAAAACACTAACGTATTTTTCACTGATTTCGCACAAGCTTTCAACAAATGTGACCATGGTGGCGCCTGACAGCTGGGTGGACAGCGCTACGGATTCATAGTCCTGAGGTTCCGGGTTCGATCCCCGGTGGAGGCGGAGACAAATTGGGCAAAATGTTCCTTTCACCCTGATGCCCCTGTTACC